GGGGCTGCTCCCCTCAGAGCCTCGGGAGATGGTCCCCTCAGGGGCTGCTACTCTCAGCACCTGCTCCTTTCAGTGCCTGCTCCCCTCAGCGCCTCAGGGGCTCCGGACCTGGAGCCAAGTGGGACACGTCTCCACACATGGCCTGCCGAGGACTCCCCGCCTTGCCGGGATTCTTTCCCCGCCCATTCTGAGGGGCAGAGAGCTCCTGGCCGGAGGGACACCCTCACACCGCTTCCCTCATCTCCTGGGCACCCCTCTTGCTTTCAGTTGGCATCATCTGGCTGATCAGTCATGGCCTCCCCTCCAACCATCAAATCGGCAGCAGTTTCTCTAGAAAACGCTTTAAGAGGCAGCTCTGAATTGGAACCTTTTTATTATTGTATTATTAATACATTTTATCTTGCAGTAACATCTGCTCCTTGTACCCACCCCAGGATTCAAAAGGCAGCAAAGCTCCCACAGCAATCAGTTTTGCTTAAAGCATAGTTTTAAGGTAAAACACACAGGTTGTTTCTCTTTTCAACTCTCTGTAACCCTGACGAGGGGTTCGGCATCTTCCAGGGGCATCTGAATCCCACAGTGTGAACAGCACAGTTTTGAGGACTCACCTGATCCCTGGACCAGGCATCTCCATTAAAATAAAATAGATGAGTCTTCTAAGGGCACAAATACTTCTGCTTCTTGTTACAAGAACTCATTTTCAAATATTTAGAACTACCAAACACTGATGAAGCTTTAGTCTGACGGTGTCAATCGCTTCAGGAGGCTGGAGAAAATGTTTTGTTCATGTAACTACATCTCAGGACTTTCAGATGTCGTTACTAGTCTCACCTTTCTCGTTTTGAACCTGGGAAATGAAGCTTGGAGGCACCCAGGCACTGTGTGTGCTCTTCAGCCATAAGAAAACTCACCCTAATTTATCTCTGAAAAAGAAGTTTTGCACCAACTGGTGAGACTGAGTGTAATAGCACCTCAGGGAGACTCTGCCCTTGCTCAGAGCTCACATCACTCACTGTCAGGGTGCCATAAAGGATTTCAGGAGAATGTCTGAAGAAGTGGCTGCTCTGGCCAGAAGATGAGGCTAAAGTTGTGATATGGGGAGGAACTGGTTTCATTGCCAGCATTTGGCTGAAACCCAAACCAAAGAGGGACAGGAGCCATGGAAGGAGAAGGCAGAAAAAGGAAAACTTCAGGTCTCTTAGTCAACAACAGGTAAAGAACAAGACTTGGAGCCCAACTGAGGCAACAAAAGGTGTGTGTGGGGTAGATTAACAAGCATAAAACCCAAGGACACTATGGACAGGGAAAGGTGGGGATACAAAGGACACCCAATCTGTACCTTTTCCAACATGTAAGATGGAATGCAAGACTGAATTTTGTTATTTGTTTGCCGGGGAACAGCTGTAAAAACCACCAAGAATGTGCTTCTGGCCAATCTAATACTTTTTTTGCTGTTGTCTGCTTTAACACTGTTATTGAATAGTATTACACAATACTGTTGTTTTGCTTTTAGGTGATTTTTCCAACATTTAGAATACTGTGTTTTCAAGGAATGTCTTCCTCTTGATCTTCCAAAACTGAGAATACCAGAAGGAAATCTGCTGCTCTCTTGAAGTCAGCGGGAAGTTTGCTTGCATAAGGAGAACTGGTTAGGACTCTTGACATTTCACAGCTTGTACAAAGTTCTCCAACACATCAGAGCTCATCTTTTTCATTATTCTTCTTCAGGAAAGAAGCAAGGATATTGAGGCTTTTCTGGAGCTCCTCCTTCTTCCCATCACTCATTTTGTTCTTCTCGATCAGCTTTGTGATTCGGACGACTTCGTTCGCAGCAAACTCCTCTCCCTGCTCCAGGATCTTGCTCATAATTTTCAAGTATTGCTCAGCTGATTTCTTCTCGGTTTCTTTAGCTTTTCCCAAGCTCTGCTGCCCCTTTTTCAGGAGGGCCTGGCGCTCGGATTTCTCCGTGGTGCTCACGAACTTGCTGGCCAGCACGTCGTACTCCTTCAGGCAGCCCGGCATCCCCAGGTAGATGCCACTGCTCTTCAGCCAGCGCTGAATAGCCCCGGCCTTGATCTCACCACCATAAGGTAAGGGATTGTCAAAGTCACCGTCCTGGAACAAGTAAAAAACAGGGAACTTCTCCTTGTCCAGCTTGTACTTCTCTCCCAGCTCGGTGTTCAGTTTATCGCCGTAGTCTGTCAGCAGAGAACAGAGCACAGAAAAACACAGTTAATCAAAAATTAATTTAGGATTCCCTCCTACACAAATACTTGTCTCCAGTTTCAACACATCCTAACAACCAGGAAATCATAGAATCACGGAATACCCTCAGGTGGGAGGACCCCCAAGGATCAGTCCAACTGCTGGCCCTGCACAGACACCCCAACAATCCCACTCTATCCCTGAGAGCGCTGTCCAAACACTCCTTGAGCTCTGGCAGCCTTGGGGCTGCAACCACTGCCCTGCAGAGCCTGTTCCAGGAAAATGCCACACACTGAAACAAAAACACCTTGACAAAGCACTTGGTTTTCCAAAGAAAAACACAAGATTCTAATGCTGCTTTGCTGTGACTGTGAGAGCAGAAGACATTGGCAGGATCTTTACACACAAACCCCATCCTCCTTATGGGACACTAACAGCCTTTTTTTCCCTTGTTTTCCTCTATCCATTTACTTTATCTGAGTTTACAGTTCAATAGATTTCTTCCTGTCCATGTGCAAAGAATGATTTAGTTCTGACAGCATGCCAAGCTACAAGATGTTTACTCATCTTACATAAATTACTTACATAAATAGCACTTATTCTTGAGGACAGAAAACAAAGACACTTTGATTATGCCACTTAGAGGATCCCACGTTCGCTTAGAAAATGTGGGTAGAATTTCTCAGTTGGACAATTAACCTTAAATTCTTATTCTACCTACGAAGCCAGAGCATGTAAGGTGACAGTGATCTATTTATTCTTCACTGCTTTTCTCTCTTAAATCCAGTTAAAACCACATCGAGTTACAGCAGCCACAGTGCAACAGCCCCTTGCTGTGCTGCCCTGGCATTTGCTACTTGGAATTAATCATGTTAAATATGCTTTGTTTGACCAGGATTGTGGCTAAAGAGTGATTCTTATAAGGTCCCTTCCCTGCAAATGGGACAAAAAGGTTTCTCTTGGCAAAGAAAGCAAAAAAAAAGGGGGCAGAAGTGCTGAGGAGGGTGGCAGCAGTTCAGCAGTGTGGGCTGACTCCTGCATTACCCAGCTGAGGTGGATAAGCAGCTCTCCCACACACAGCAGGCTCAGCCACCATCCAGGGCAGTCTCACATCCATCCCTCACCCCTAGAATTGCCACAGAGCCTGTTCTCAGCAGAAATCTCACTGGAATTCATCTCCTCCTCAGCAGCCCACATTGTTCCCATGTGCCCAGGGCTCCTCACCTGATATTCCCACTTCAGCCACCAGAAGATCCTCGCTGGAGCCTGAGCTCTCAGCCAGCTTTTTAAACTCATCTTGTTTCTCCCCATAGGGATATTGTGTGTCAAATTTCACCAGGACAAATTTATGCTTTGGAATAACCTAAAACAAGAAGAAAAAGGGGGGGGGAAGGAGAAAACTTGATTATTTCAGATCTGAGCAAGCCACAACTCACCAAAGGTTGTTTCTGCTTGTTCTTCTTTTTCTGTGCAATGAAGAGATGCAGGGGGAGAATGGAAATTTTATATAATTATGGCCTTTCAAAAATGACTCAGTGCTGTGTGAAGGAAAGACTGAGCTTTGGGTGTCTATTTCTGCAACAGATGATAAAGATGATATGTGGTAGGTTTGGAGGAGCTGATAATGCCTTTAATTATAAGATCTGCTTGTAAATCTGACTGACATCTTGGAAGGAAATCAGCTAAATGACTTCCAGTGGGACATGAAGAGGAGAGAGACCAAACGTCCCAGCATGAGAGCTGCACTCTGAGCTAGGAGAGGAGGCACAGGGAGGCAGAGGAAGTGCTGTACTGGCTCAGGAAATGGAGAATTCATGTTTTAATCGATTCCTCTTCACTCCAGTCTCTGCTCGGGTGATGTCTTTTCCAATGAGCTTGGAAATTTGAATTTCTCGCCCCGCTGGAGACTGAGGAGAAGACCTTGCAAAATCTTTTTGTTGTAACGAACAGGTTGGGGTTGCAGCACAGCTCCCCACCTACACAGCGCTCTGCTCAGGCACTGACACAACACCTGCGTGCACAGGTGGCTGAAGGCTCCGTCTTGGGCCTGTGGGAAGCGCACATGGCCCTGGGAAAACGCCTTCATTGCAAAGTGATTTAGCGGAGGAAAAAAAACCCCAAACCCCGTGGAACCCTGTTGCTTTCTGTTCGACGAACAAAAGCGAAGCCACCCAGGCGGGGAGCGCTCACGGCCCCGGCTCGCTGCTCACTCGCTCACTGGCACGGGCAGCGCAGCCGGCCCACGGCGGCTCTTTGCTCGCTGCCCGGAGCTCGGGGGCAGGGCGCGGCGGTGGAGGCCGGACCTTCCTTCCCCGTCCGCCGGTGCCTCGGGCCGGACCCCTCCCTCCCCGCGGGCCGGACCCCCGAACCGCGCGGCCGGCTCCACTTGGACCGCGCCGATTGGCTGCCGGCCTCGGCCGCCGCGACTCCCAATTGGCTGCCCTGCCTCGGCCGACGCCGCGCTCCATTGGGCTGCGCGCAGCGCGGCGCTCCGCGGGCGCCGCGCGCTCCCGCGCGGTGTTGGCGGCCCGGCCCCGCTCCGCGGCCCCGGCCGCGCCCGAGCCCCGGCCAGTGCCCGCGGGGTGCGGCGAACACGGCCCTGCGCGGCCCCGAGCCCGCCCCCCGAGCGCCTCCGCCGGGCGCGGCGGCGCCCGCGGGCCGTACCTTGTAAAGGTGAACGGTGTCGAGCGGCACGGAGCCCTTGGTGGTGCAGCGTGCTGGCGCCGGCAGCGCCAGCCGAGCAGGCACAGCAGCAACCGAGCCCGCGGCCGCCGCCGCAGCCATGGCGGAGCGCAGGGAGCCGAGGCTGCCGGGACACGTGACGGCGCGACGGCCGCGCCGGGGCTCGCCCGCGCCCGCACCCCGCGGGCACCGAGGAGCGGCGCCGGGCGGGACCGCGGGCACCTCCCACGGGCCGCCCCGCTCCCCCGGCACAGCGCGGGGAGGGGGATGCTGCGGCGAAATAAGGACGAGCGAGCGGCTTCCAGCAGCAGTTCCACAGGAGAGGAAGGCAGGGAAAGGCAGGAGGCAGGATCTGGCCACACAGAGTAGCAGAGAGGGTGTGTGCATCTCTGTCCAGGGTGGGCACTGCCATAGCACTGCCACAGCCCCCTCGGACAGGGCGGGTTTTTTTGTGTTATAACCAGGGGAGATCTCCTGCAGCGAAAGATTTGCATGCATTTCAGCCAGCGAGGCATAAAGCATGAAGAGCAGGCTGACAGATCATGTCAAAGCACTGACACATCCCAGCCCCCTCCCCCAGCAGACATCACTGAGGATTCCCTCCCCTCCCCTTTCCAACCTCCCCCTTTGCAGGTAATTTGATTTTCTGCTTGTGCTGCACCAGCACAATCTGGCTTCACCCAAGGGCTTACAAACATAGTGTAGATGAGCACTTTGATTGCATCCAGACAGAAAAATGAGAGGCAGCAATACTGATTTGTAACGAAACTGACTTTTATATAAATTATAAACCCATCCAGTTTAAAGCAGTTCAGTTGCAGTTGTGTCACTTAAGTCCGTAGAAGGCCGAGGCGTACACATCTCCTACAGTCATAAATTAACAGGAATCAAGGAAGAGAAAGTTCAGATAAGGCTGCAAATACAACAACAACAACAAAAAATTCCCTAAGTTTACTAGCGGTTAAAATAAAGTCATGATTATCAAGGATTGCAAAATATAAATGCAATTTTTGAACAGTTAAAAAGTACAAAAATGATGGGCAACACAAACAAGCATCGTACAGTTTGTCCTGTGTGTAGACAGAGCAGGGTAGGAGATTTCCAACCTTTATCTACATCAGACACTGATTTTAAGCCGAGAGGAGTTGAGGAAATCTGTAAAAGGATCGTGGCTCATGATCCCAGTAGTACAAAAGCAGTATTTTTTTCAGTCTGTAAACAGTAGTCTTGGTAGCTTCTTCTAGGTATGTTTTTCAATTCATCACCCAAAAAAAGAAAAATCCAAAACAAACAAAAACAAATCCTAAGGGTGGAAGAAAGGGAACAGCAGCAATGGGTTATAGCTTGAATTTTGTATCAGGTCCCTGTGGGACATATTCTGGAGGGGAAATGCTCTTTCGTAAGAAATATATAATATATTTAACTGTACACAATTTATAAGGGGAGAGAAATTCTCCCTCAACCAAGCCCCCAGTCAGTCAGTACAGAGTCATCTTTGTACACCACTTCCTCCTAAAGAGAAACTACAGCTTGGGAAAGGATGGCATATGGTTTTAAAAAACACTGAGTAATCCAAAAATTCTGTTTGACAAGGTTATCGCTCAGCAGTGGCTGGAACTGGAACGAGGAGAGCAGGTAACACTGAAACAGTCACTGTTCCCCCTGTGCTGCCAGCACTGGGACGGGGAGTGAGCCATGGTTCCATCTCATCCCAGATGACACACGTCCCCCACAGCAGTTTCAATTCTGCTTTCAAGGGAGCTGATGCAGAAAACCTTTTTTTAACCTAAGTTCTGCTTTCAGCCCACAGGAGGATTTTAAACGTGGTCGTGTTACCTCACACTTCACTTGTGTCATCGCTGCTTATCGACACAACCGGTTGAGTTCAACCTGGTGCAGCAGCAATGGCAGGAAAGCCCAGCAAGGATCAGCCCCTGGACTGTCCCCTTCCCCTCTGGCTGAGGGCACTGTGACAACCTTGCATTCAGTGCTGGTGTTCGTGCAAAGCCTCTGGAATTAGCAAAGCCTGGGGAGGGAGGGGACAGGGACAGCAGCAGGGACACTTTGCCCCTGTGACTGAGAAGGGCAGTGCCTGGTTTGGGCTCAGTGCTGCTCCCAACTGGCACCATCTCACACCGGGGCTGTTTTCACTCACCCTGCACATCTGAAAGCACCAACTTCCGTCACCAGTCTTGCTTTAATTTAAGGAGCACACCTTTCTTTCAAAAAAGATATTTCTATACAACATATAAGAGTTCAGTTTTGTTTTTTCCTTTTCTTTTTTTTTTTTTTTTCCCCTTGGAGAAGTATTACTATAAAACAGACTTAACACATTTTGGTATTCCTCCAGCCCAGAGCACTTACCAGACATCATGAGTAAACCATCAGGACATCCATGACAATTTGACAACCTGCAGACATTCCTTTCCCTTTCAGGATGGGGCAAAGCAAAACTAAATCCAGCAAGAGCAGCTATGGGACTTTTTTTTTTTTTTTAATAGAGGGGATTTATTAAAAAAATAGTCTCATCAACATTCTAGCATTGCTAACAAAACAAAAGAGATGACAAAGGCAGTCAGCTCTCCCAAAACTTTAAATCTAGACCTTGGATACCTGCTGCTTTAAATCAGATGAGGAATCTGTGGAATCTGACCTGTCCCTTATTTTGCAGGTACATGAACTTTTTTTGCCTATCACTTCTAGGCTGCATTGCTCCTTTAAAATGAAAAAACCCAGCAGAAATGCAGATTCTGTGGGAGCAGATATGATCACACTTTCTAACAGAAAGCTTAATGAGCCAGTACTGGAATAATCAAAGTTCAACTGCAAAAAGCAAGCTACAGCTGCAAAAAGGGTTCTCAGCCTCGTTCCACAGCGGAAGCAAAAGTCACCTCTGCCAACTTAAAACCAAAGCCAATAGGATTTCATTTCTATTAAAATACTGAAGTCTTAAAGTTTCAGTAATCTAAATACACTTTTTAAAAGTCATGACTGTTGCTGTTTTACGTTAAACTGACATGATATCAGCAGTGTCAGACTTCACTGCACATGTTATATACAAGGTCTCTGGGTTTGTCCTTTTTTTGCTGACACGCCCGTTCCCATCTCCCTCTGAAGTTTGCTCCTCATCACATTGGCAGTTTCTCTGAGTGTGAAAACACAGCGTGTGCACCGACACCTCCTCCCTCCGTTCTCTCCTCAGAGGAACCGGGTGAGTCCCAGCCGAGGGAGTTCTCCCATGTGGCCTCACCTCTCCCTGACGGACCAACACATGGAATTCTTTCAGCAGGACCAGGTGCTCTGCAGACAAAAGAGGCAGCTCCAAACCAGGCTCATCTCATTAGAGGCGGCTGAAGGTGGACATCTACAATTCCTGCTTTTCTAAGGCAAGGACCATACAAAAATTATAAACACTGTATGGTGATGAAAATACAACTCCTTGGAGAAAGATGCTTTACACTGGATTTCTATTGCTGCTTCTAAAGACCATCTCCAGTTGTTTCTAGAGATCAGAAGGGAAGAAAGTTAATTTTCTCCTGTTGCAATATGCTTATGAACATGTATAAAAAGTGGTCAAACCCCGGTGAAGGGTCCCTGCTTCTCATTTATGTACAATAATTTAAATCAGCTCAATACATCTGTAATACCTAAAAAAATTGTTTCATGATTTTAAGTCCTTCATGCATTATGAGGAAGTTCTGGATTAAAGTGATGGTATAGTGGATGTTGCTTCTGTCTGGGACTCTGGTGTCACTCCCCTGTGGAGTCTGTCAAGGATGCATTTCTCAAATCTTTAGTTTTTTAATGGTATCGAGTCTCTTTTTCAGCAGCTCCCCAATTTCCTGAACTGAGTGATGGTAACTGCTCTGGACCTTCCCTTGTACAGTCTTTGTAAACTTTTTTTCTTCCTGCAAAATGCAAAAGAGAAATAATTCACTGCACAGCAACTGTTTAAATCCCCCCTTTAAACTTCATCCACCATCTCAAACACTGACAAGGAATTCGTGAGGACCAGAGTGTTTACAAAGGGTATCTCTTACCTGTAAAAGCAGAGTGTCCTTGAGGGACAGCTCTTCAAGTTTTAGTGCAGTCAGAATTATTTCAAGCCCTTTGATATGATCTATTACATTGGAAGTTAATGTCTGTAGTTCAGTTACATAATCCAGGAAGTGGGTAAATACAGGTGGCTATAAAAACAAATACATATCTTTAATTTATAAACACATACTAATGTCCATTCTATCTGACAACTCACATTGTAGCATCATTCTATCCCTTCTCCCCAGTGCTAACCTATATTTTACCTACCCAGATAAACACTCCCCAGCTAACAAGTTTACTGTAGTGCATTCAAGGTCTGTGACACTCTAGACTTCAGTGTTTCCCATTAAAAAGCTGTCACATGATGTCACATGTGCCACATGACCATTGGATTTTAAACAGCACTTTCAAAAATTAGCCCTGAGTCACCTTTACCCCACGTCAGCCTCCACAAGGCAGAGGTTATGAAAACCAGTTTATGCTCATGTTATCTATGCTGATTTTTCTTCAGTATAAATAAGTTGTGATTGGGGGTAGGGGAGGAAAGAAGAATTATTGTCTGTACCATAGCTACACTGCTTTCTTTTTTTTTCTTCTTCTTTTTTTGCAGGTTGGATTTAAAAGGTCGGAGGACACTGTCACAGTAACTTGATACCCACAGGGCAATGGAGATCGTCTGGAAAAAAGGGACAAACGTGTTACAGGTGGCATTTACAGGAGGCTTCTAAACTCATTTTAGTGTTCCTACTGGTAAGACTCACAATAGATGGAATATGCAACAAAATCTCTGCTCTCATGAGTGACTGAGATCAAACTTTCACTGTGTTTCAGTCCCAACATTTCTACCCCCCAGTCCTCCCAAATTTCTGGTTTCCAAAACACCCAAAATACCTCAACAAAGAAGACTAAGTTTTCTAATAGGTTTGGATGAGTTTTCAAGGTGCCATCTCTGACTTCAATCAAATCACCTTTACATTTATTGAACAAATCTGAAAAGAAGAAAGAAAAAGGACAAAGTAGAGCACCATAACTGCATATTTTCTGTACATGACATATCTCAGTGCAGCATTCAGAGCTGGGAGGGGACTGCCCACTAAGCAGTTGATGAGAAGGTCCAGCTCTCACATTTCCTCTGAATTGTGCTTCACTACAAACAGCATCTCCACACCTTTCATAAGCCCCCCTGGCCCAGGGGAGACAGGATTTGCCAGACTGGGCTGCAGGGGAAGTGCAGTGACAGGACAGGGGACATTCTGAGCATGCATCAGCTTCAGACAAGCCAAGGGCCATCTCAGCCTTCTTTCACAGTCTGCAGGTGCAATAACACATCCCAGCCCTGCAGCATCCTCAGAGGAGCAGGAAGCACTGCCTTAGCTACCAGTGTCTATTCTGGAATTACCATTTACCTGTCAGTCGTTCTACTAAAGACTTGAAACTATTCCCTATTCTTTCCTGGATTTCTGCTGAATCTTCTGCAAAGAAATAGAAATACAAAATGATAAGCTACAAATTTCTGTATTTTCTGCTTCCAGAAAACCAAGAGGCATTTAAATGTAATTCAGTGTCAGCAGTCAAAAGCAAATGCAACTGCTTTCAAAGAGGAGCCAGAATTACATCAATATACACTGTACAACAACAAAGACTTGCATAAAACATTAAATGAAGGCACTGGCTCCCAGATAATTCAGTGTCAGACAGAAAATTAACACACAAGTAACAGTTTTGGGTCCACATCATCCAACGCCCAGCAGCTTTCAAACCAAACAGAGACACATCTCACTCCCTCCCACCCGCCACGGCAATCTGGTGAAACCCCTGCCCCCAAACACTTACCTAAGCCATTGGTATCTAGTTCATAAATATCACTAACAAGATAAAACAAGCTAGTCTGGCACTGACAGCTGCCATTGCTGAAGAAGCCAGCCATTCGGGTGGGAGGAGGGCCAAGGACAGGATACTAGGCAAGAAGCAAAGAAAAAGATAAAGGTGTTGCAGCTTTTCCTCATCTCAAACCCAGAGTTTGGCACATCTCCCAGTCACATTCACACCCCACAAACCCAGGGGCAGGTAAGTGCACTGTGCAGCCTGCGGGGTGTTACACGATGCAGGTTCTCTGCTCACATTCACAGTTTCACATTCAGGAAGAGCTTTGGCCTCAGTGGTACCTGAATTTTTTGTTCTAGAAACTTCTTCCCTGAATCCGCCGCTGCTTCCAGCTGCTGGAGCAGGGATCTGATGGTGTCAATCCTGGAGGAGACGCCGTTCTCTGCAGTCTTTTCCGAGTTCTTTGGTTGGATGGTGTGGCTCAGAGTGGGGAGGCCGCTCACCAGCCTCAAAGTCAAGGACCGGATCCGCAACCACAGGGTTTCTTCCTCCAGTGAGAGCTTCCTATGTTCTTCAGAAATGTCCCTACAGAAAGGCACCAAAGGCTGTCAGGGAAATGCTCCAACTTTGCACAGCAGCTAAAGCTTTCCTCAGGCACAAAAGCCTACCCAAAGCTCTCCTAGAATGGATGAAGACGAAGGAGAGGCCAGAAATTAAGAAAACTATTAACATATAAAAAGGCAGCACTGCTAGAAGTGATGGATGGTGCTTGTTAAGTCTGCAGTCAGTCAGCCCAGGGAACATTAAATTTTGTTGCCCTGGAAGGAATTTCTTTGCCATGTGTGTTGTAAGGAAATAGGGTGACTCTAGAGTTGAAGGTATTTCTACTCACCTGTCTTTTGGATCCCAGCTAAACAAGACTGTCAGGTCCCTGTTGTCACGCAAATCTTTCCATGGAATGTCATCCTCCTCTGGGCTCAGACTCATGGATTTTATACTTTCTTCTAAACTGGTTGATCTGGACATAAGAACAAGCATTAAATCAAACATCTGATCACTGGAAAGAGAAATCACAGCTCACTAACAGACCATGTTCTGCCCACTGTGCAGCTCTGCTGATGGCAGGAGTGTGGCACACATGTGGCACTGACAAGGATATGAAGGAAAAGCAAATTGAAATCAGATTAAAATCTTACAGTTAGAAAAGACCTCCAAGATCATCAAGTCCAATGCTTGACAACCCCTTCCATGAAAGAATTTTTCCTAGTATCTAATCTCAATCTCCTCAGCACAACCTGAGACCATTAAAGGCAGAGAGGAGCACCAGGAGGATTGAGATGTTTCTGCCAGAGCTGCAGGTGCAGCTCCCCAAGGTCTCACTTGACCCATGTTCTGCCCATGCACAAACCCCCCAGTTCCCCCCCCCCAGGTGCTGAACTCACATATTTGCTTCAAGTAAGAGGTCCAACAACATCCGCTCTGTGCGAACTTGGGCGAAGTGAAGGGAAGAGTTCAGCCTGTTCCTGAAGGCAATGAATTCCGGGATCTTCTCAAACGCCCCGTACTTGTAGGCTTGGATGATGTATTCTGAGGTCTGGAAGAGAACACACAGCAGTCCTGTGTTAGTCACTGCCCCAAAATGGGAATAACCACCTTTAACAAGGTCACTGCCAAGAAATTGCATTTCTGGAGATTTATGCACTCAGAGATCACAACCTGACAGATCTTCAGTCCCCAGGAGAAGTCTGCACTTCTCCAAGTCATCCCCTTTGCTACTTTAATTTGGGAATGCCCAGATGCTCCAGAGGCAGTGGGTTTTAACAACCCAACCAACACTAATGAGATTTAACAACCAAACCAACACTAAGCATCATGTTCCTGTCACCACAGACTGAAGAGATGATTTTGGAAGGCTTTTTTCCCCTTCCTTTTTTTTTTTTTCGTTTTCCAAATAATTAAATCCTTGCTTCGTTATGAGAAATACTTCCAGGCAAAAGAAAGATATCCCAGATTTTCTGGAACTCACTTGGATGTGCATCACATATTACAACATAGATTTAAAAAAAAAAATTACTCACACATTTTTTTATTTGTTTCTCTTTTTTATTAGAGTTTTGAATACAGTATCACACAGTGTGTACATGTTACAATACAAACACCAAAGGAAGCTCTCAAGGTCCATGGGATACTTTGCTTCCCCTCTGATGAAATGCAGCAATAAAGGCAGGCAGCCAATATTTCACAGTCCAGGCAATCTCCAAAAAGGAGATTTATGTGATGAAGGAGCCCCAAACAAGCACAATGTTATAATGAAAATGTCTGAAGTGTAGAGACAGAGTGAGCTGTTTCTGCTCCCAGCCTTGAGAGGTGGCTGTATTTTTTAGCATCAGAATTACTCTACAAATGAGAAATTCTGGCAAATCAAGTATTTTCTTCTGAACAAGATTCTGAACTGCACTGAAGATGAGAAGCACCAAGAAAAGGCCAATTTTATATGGTCCTGACAGACTTGACCTGTCTGGAAGGCTTTGAGAGACCAGAAGGCAGCACTTACAGATCAAAATCACCTTTTATTTCCCTCCAACATGAAAAACTATATTTTTTTTTTATTTTCCCCTAAGAAATTTGGTCATTTGCAACGTATGAAAAAAAGATGCCAAATATTCAACAACATACCCTGTGATAACCAGCCTTGCAGAGGTGCTTGTCAGGCTGCAGGACTGGGCTATGGGTGCTAATTCAACTCATCGGCGTGGATTTTAAATCCCCCCAGGCCACGTTGGTGCTGTTTGCCTGCAGTATCTGCACAAATCAGAGACGGACGGACACAAGAGAGTTAGAGATTACTTGGGGTTCTGCACAGTTGAAGGAGGACTCGAGAAGGATTTTAGTTCTGGCCAAATATAGCAATGCTGCCTCCTCTCTCCTCCCTGTCCTTGGCATCCTCTCCCTGAGAGAAATACAGCATTGCACAGCATCCTAAATGGCTGTTCCGTGGGACCCACTCACACAGGATTCACGTCAGGCTGTGAAGTTCAGCAAGAAGGAAAATGGATTTATCCAAAGCAATCAGTGTGATTCAGGAGCTCTATTTTTATACCAGACCACTTGGTTTACATCCCACACTTCCTGCACAGCGCTGCACAGGACACAGTCTCTGTGCTGGAAGACACTGCATCTCTCTCAACAGTGACCTAGGGAGGAGCAGGCAGCACTAGAAATCCTGGAAAATGGGAATTTTTGAAGGATAGTCCTCCTTTAACACTGCAGTGTTAGATGTGGTCACAGGGCTTGAAGGGGAAGCTGCTGTCAGGACCCTGAGCACGAAGGGGCAACCCCAGCAGCAAAGAAACTGGTATCAGATCCTGACCTTTTGATACTCAGGACATGTCTTATGGCAAGGAACCCCTTTCTTCACCCCCTCTCTTGCCACAACATCATCCTCAGTGAAAGGGACCCTGAACTGAGCCTTCACCTCCTGCAATTTGCACCTCATGCTTGGTTTAAAGGACACTCCCTATTTGCAAGTATAGCTTTTGAGGCACTACCCAACAAAAGGATCTTAAGGATACAACCACTGGAAGTGTCCAGAACACAGGAGAGATTTGGCTACCTGGGAGCAACAACAGCTCATGGTCCTTTGGTCACCCACACTCTGTCTCCAAGACAAGACATGATGTGAGTGGGTTCCAGTTGCATCCTCATCTTGTCACATGAAGAATTCTAACATTCTACTGCACCACTTGTGCCCCTCTTGCAATTCCAATATTTTAAGGTGTAGCAGCAAGGTCAAACTGTTCAGGCAACACCTTTTCAGGATTTCTGGAACAGGAGTTGAGTAGCATTTTCCTGCCAACAGCACTTGGAACGCTGCCATCTTCATCTGTGTACAGGTGTTGAGCTACTGGAGACAACCAGCTCTTCTCTGCCACAAGAACTTTTATCACTGATGCCAAAGAGAACAACCTGCTTCCCAGGGAACCACACCTGAATTACTTGATTGTTTTCCATGGAAAGATGATTTCTTGATGCTTTCCAACGCAGTGTTCCCAAGCAGACGAGTCACATCCCACAGTTTTTCTGATTCGCTTTTCTCACCTGTACCCAGCAGTCGTGTGTTTTATTCACACAGTTGGTTCTGGGGATGCTTTTCATTAACATCCACCAAATGACTTTTAAACAAGACTGAAAAGTTACACCTCACCAAAAAAAAAAAAGAAAGCTGCCACTACCAGCAATAGACACACAGGATAAAATCTGGATCCAGAGCTTCACTCCCAGGAATCCAAAGCCTCTTAGCAAGAGGAATCAGTTAAACAACAAGCAAATGAGGGATGCAAAGCAGAGCGAGCTCCCAACCCATCCTACAATCCATGTGCTGCTCTGTGCATCCAGCAAATTCCTGTGTCAGACACAGGTCACAGGAACTCAGCATCTCCCTTCCAGGCACAGGGAAGGGAAATGGGAATCATGTACCTGGGAATCACTTGGGCTGCCAACACAGAAAGGGGAATTCTCAGGGATTCCTGTGTGAGCATCTTTACTGTTCAGTTCAGACAACTCCTGTGTTTTTATCTATTGCTGGGAGAGTGGGAAAGCAAGTTGTGTCACTGCAGAGCCTTTGGAGCCAATTTAGCCATTTGCCACTGAAATGCACCTTTGTTTCTTAGGAATTAAAAACCAGTTTCTTCACCTACCTCTCAACAGTGACCAAACTGTACAGTATAAAACACACAGGATATATTCCCACTCCTCAGAATGGGGTGGTCCCTTTATAAAGATGTGCACCCCCCACGACCCCTGTGTGCCCAGCACAGCCATCACTGAGTCAGTGATTGTAACATAAAGGATTCATAATGTGCCATCCCATCCTGAGCCACCACCCCTGGCTGCTCCATGACTGTCCAAAATGCCAGTTTTATGACACCAGGGTTTTTTTGCCACATGACATTTCACTTCAATTACTGCATAAAATCACAAACTGTTGATTTAAAAGTAATCATAGCTGGGTTTTTTGACAAGCATTAAAACTGGCTGTAATAAAAAGAGAGCTAAAGCAAAACCTCATGTAACAGTAAGTTGCAAATTCCTGCAGTAAGAAACATAGGTTGAGGCAACCTTTACTACAAAGTTGCACATACTATTCTTCCTTGCTATCATGTTATTAACCTGCATTTCCATAAGCCCTTCCACAGGGCACAGGCTTCTCCAAGTCTCCTTGACATATTGCCCTGTTACAAGGTCACAAAGGTTTCTTTCAACTTACATCTTTCTGGTTGGAGTGGAAAAACCTGAGTGCAAAATTGCAGGATTGGGATGCAGCAGCATAGTGGCCCAGGGACTCGGCGTAGCGTGTCAGGAGATACCTGCAGCAAACACAGCAATGTCAGCCCCAGCCCTGGAACCCCAACCCCAGACAGCTGCAGCACAGCCCAGCTTTCAGGGGAAATGTGGAGATTTAACAGCATTCACATTAACAACTTTCATATTCAAGTTTAGGTTTGAAAAGTAGAGGAAGGAATTTTTAATTTTTTTTAAAATAGTATGTGAGGAGTTGGAGTTCCTCCCTCCACCTAAAGTGTGGCAAGAGCTTTACTCAGTCAGATGTCCCCAAACATCAACCAAAGCCATTTTGGTTTGCTTTAACTAGTGTTCCCAAGCTTTCCTGAGCAACACCACAAGCTGGAAAACCAAGCTATAACTAGCATCAAGATAGATGTTTCACAAATTTCCTCCAGATTAGTTAATACTCAGTTAATTCTCTGAAAATCCAACACAGGAAAGATACTCCACAAACAGGGGAGTGGATGTGTCTCAAAACCCCCAAAACGCTTTTTACACAGTGTATGAAAAGCTGATAATCTGCTCTGTTTTGGGTGGCAGAGCAAAGTGCAGGTCTCAGAAGGGGTTCTGAGGGTCAGTAGCAGCAGGGATTATTCTCAGTATGTACCACCCACCCGATGGTGTCGTGCTGGATGTGCTTGGCATCGAGGCTGGAGTAGAGCTCAGCCACGGGTTCGAACGCCCCGAGCCGGCAGTAGATCCGGATGAGCAGCAACTTAAACTGAGCATTGGAAGGACTGTGAGCCAACCCCTCCTCCAGCAGAGTCAGGCACTGCCACACAGCTGCCTCTTCACCTGCAGACACACAGAACACAGGTGTGAGCAGAGAGAGGCACCCAACAGCCCTCAGCACAATTCCCTCTGGGACTGGAGCTTCCTGGTGTTACACACCTCCCCCGAACGGGGCCAGGGATTTACAAGTGCAGATGGCACAGTGTAACACCTGTCCAACACTACTGCTGCTCCCTGAGGGAATGGGGGAGGAGTAATTCCTCACAGGGAGTACCCAGCTCACATCTGCACAGAGTACAGCCCTCACAGTGAGCCCACTGCAGGCAAAGTGACCCTCCCTGATGGATCCTGCACTGACTGGGAATTCTAGTTTACACATACAGAGCAATCCCAAGCATTATGCAAAAGAGCCAGGAATTCAAGAGCCCATGTCCACCAGTGACCTGCCAGGAGCCTGACCATGGCTTTACTCAGGTTAAAGACTAAATCTTCCTCGGGAAAGACAAAGGCACTACTGAAAACTATATGGAATATAAACAGTGCCCATGGACATCCACCACTGGACACTGTGGGACTAAGAGACACGAAGAAGAGGTGTGGAGTACAGCAATACTCAAGACATGGAGCAGGTCCCAGCAGGTCTAGAAACCAGGGATCCAAAAGACAAAGTATGTCAGGAAGGGGAAGGAATGCTCCTAAAACACTTCTCATATCAGAAAGGAGTTGTCAGCAGAGCTCGTGCAAAGGGAGAGAAACAAGGAATTAATCAGAAAAATTAAATCCCTTTAGAGGTCAGTGAGATTCAGGTCAAACACCAGCTGAACAGAGACTCCTCAAATACCCCATATTGCCAAAAAACAACCCCAGAAAGCTACAGGCCATGCCAGGTACTCACTGCCCACAGAGACACAGTCCCCCCACCCAACCATCCAGGGTGGTGATAAGCAGGGCACAATTTTGGGAACGTACCTTCCAGCCACAGATCAAGCAGCAGGTGAACTGCAAGCAGGCAGTAGTAATCTGAAAACTGCAATTCAGTTTTCAAACAAGATTTCCCTAAAAAGAAAAAAGAAAGTTACTAACAGTGCTGTCAGCTGATCTCACAGGTAGCGTTGTCAAGTGACACATCCATATATGTGGATTATAACCACAGTTTAATTTATAAAATCAGAATCAGAAGTGTCTTAAAAACTCAAGCAACTTCATACACGCTGCATTTGTTTATCACTGAGTGGATTTTGGGGCACTTCATACATTAAATCTGCTGGAAGAAGAAAGGACTCTCCCACAACTGCAAGATTAACAAATTAATACTCCTGGCCCAGGTATTTGTTCTGTGCACACCAGTGATAAAGCACGGCTTTTACAAAGTAAAAACTACCCTGGAAAGTCTTGTTTATCTTTAAAATACATTAAAATTACAAAAAAAGCCTAAAGGAAATTCAGATATAGCCGAGGCTATAATGACAAGGAGGAAGCCAGGTGTTCTCAGCACTGAGCTGCAGGCTCAGGTTACAGATGTTCCTCACCGAACTCCAACCCGTGGCGGTATCTGAACATCAGCTCCCGCACCACCGTCAGCTTCTCCTTCTTGTCCATGGCGTGGTAGATGCCCAGGAGCCTGGAGAGCTGCACCACACACAGGTGCTGCTGCAGGGCCTTGATGTCCCCTGGAAGGGCCACCTCGTTCTCGGCCGCTGCTGACAGGGGGATCACCTCCAGCAGCTGCTGGATGAACTGGGAGAGAAACACTGGGGGTCAATCCTGAGGGCAAAGCATCATTTCCCCCCTCAAACCAAGCCAAAAGAGCAAGGTGGAAACATTGAATCAGTCACATCAGTGATGCTCTGAACAGCAAACTAATCACACTCCTCAGCCACAGAAATGGGGACCTTGGCCCCCAAGCACTACAAAGGGCAGGCAGAGGGCAAAAGTGCTTAAAAATCCCAAACTAACCTCAAAATGGAGTTAAACAGCAGCATTTGAACTATTCAGGAGAATTTTAAGTCTTTCTTAAGAAAGTTTATCTAATTTGGAGCATTAAACTGAACGAAGATTTCTACTGCTCCACGTGAATGATGTATCAATATCAACCTTGATGTCACATTGAATCAGTGGTTAAAGATACTTAACTTTGCTATTTTTTAATTCTTGAGCACACAGCTCTAGTTGCACTCAGTAGTTTTTATTAAGTTTCATCAAACAGATGGAAGAAAAAAAGAAAATCAGGGGCAGGTTTCCAATGCATTGCCACACCAGGGAGTTCAAGCACCTGTTAACACTCCCAGCAATAACAGATGCAATTAAAATAATTAGTTGCTGAAAGGCTTCACAGCACACTTCCAGGCAAGCGTGGTTTTGCACGAGCTGTTACATTTTCCCTCAGCTCTGAAGTAATGTGAGGTCATCAGTTTTGATTAATGACTTCTTGCTTGAATTAAGTTGTCAGAAAAGCAGCCTCTCATTGTTTGCTGTTTTAATGGGAGACAGAGGAGTACTCCCAACACACAGCCACGGGCTGGACACCAGTTTCTCATTGTGAACACTGTTGGATTTTAGGGCAAATTTAAAACTGAGTTAAAGCCAAAGAATTCAGCTTTACTGCACTTGGTATTGACACAAAGGAACTGCATCAAATGCAAGCCTGAGGCCAAAAGCTTCACAGCCAGAGAGGAGCAACACCAGGCACCACACACACCAGTCCCCGTTTTCCCACAGAACAGGCTGGAGACTGTTGACAGATCTTTTGTAGTTTGAGGGTTTGCCAAGCTGAGCAAGGTCAACCACATCACTTGTCTCTATACTCCAATTTACACCTCTCGAAGTCAAGACTGGTGTCATGACCATTATTTCTGGAATATCTCACATGTCAGTGGCCCAGCAAGATCTCCACCTTCCCAGCTACTGAACTGTAACTGTAATTTCAAAACTCATCAGCACTTCAGCACCACAAAACCTCCTCAACTACTCGTGCCCTTGACCGAGTTAAACTGCTGCAGATGCTGCTTTAGGGACAGCCAGAGAACAGCCAAACACTGGCAAAACCTTCCAATCCATCAGTTTGACACAATATATATTCCAGAATTTATTCAGTAAATCAGCAGCAGTTTTAAGGCCAGACAAAGTTTTAGAGAACTTATTCAAAGCCATGGTTTTACAAGCACTGGGACAAAACTGTCACCTAAACTATTACTGAATATCATTCTTTCCACTCCTGGTTTAGAGTTTGTTTCCTGGAAAGTTAGGATTAAACCTGATCAGTACTTCAGGGTTACCTGACAACAGTATCACCATTTCCAGAACCAGGAGTTAAATATCCTTCTGACCAAATCTCTTGCCAGTGGGGTAAAACCCACACCTTTAAACATAAAACATCAGCAGCCATCTGCCCATGCCAGGGCCACCTCCCCTGAGTGGGAAGAGCTGTATTAGCCCTCAAAAACATTGTAATAAACTAAAGAACCACGTTATCTACACTTTGTTTACCAACATTTTCTCCCAGCCTGTGGCTGATCCCGGATTCCCTGCCCTCCCCAGCGCTGATCCCTGCACACAATGGCCCAGACAAACACTGGGGTGAGTGACAGGATTCCCAGCTGCTGAAGTCATTCAGGGCTGCTCATGACTCTGCACAAATGGGCTTTTCAGTCCCAGAGAGCTGTTTCAGAGAGAGATTCTGGAAAAAACTGCCGTAGGTCTCTCCATCACCCCTCAAGCAGCATCAATGCGTCCATTCTTTGGCACTGCCAAGCAAAGCATCTCTGGGACACCCTCCCTGCATGGGATGAGGGAGCAGCTTTTTCCCACTAAATAGAGAAGTTTGAGCTCAAAGCCTGACACCTGATACCTTGAAATGGTAATAAAAATGCCAAAGGAATACAAGATCTGAGACTCTGCAGGATCAAACTCAGCTTTAAACCTCCAGTAAAAATCCTCAGAATGAAACTGCTCAGTGTTCAGATGTTCACAGTATTTTCTACAGCACAAAGAGTTCTCTGAATTTTAAACAGAAAAAAAAAAAATTGATGTTGCCAGTCTTTCCATATGATCCACAGGTATTTTAAGATAAAAGCACCAGAGTGCAAACATCCACTGCAGTTCCTGCCACACTTTATCTTTCCTTACCTTTGAGTATTGGCTGGGTGAGAGGAGATCCACAAACACTTTGAGATCAGTAAAACAGCAGGGTTTGTCCCCAAATTTTTTGAAGTATTGGAACATTAGCTCTTCTGGATCACCTAGGGAAAAGCCCAGTCCATCTTTTTAACACGCTCCAGTACAAGTTGAATCTGTAAAATCACTGAGAAGTCTGTTCACGCTTTTTTTTTCCCCCTTTAGAGTGATTTAGAAAACAGAGCTGCAGATTTTAACAGGGGCTCAATGTCTCTGGTAACCAAGGACACAAAAAAACCACCCCAAGGGCTTCATTCAAGCTCCTCTGGCAGATAAGTGCTCAGCAATACAGGAACGCACACCCAGCCTCTGCTTATCTAACCACAACTTATTTTTGGATGGAAACACAAAAAGAACTAGTAAGAAGCACAGATGTTGCTCTAATCACGTTCTCTTTCACTGATTGCCTAAATGCCACTTTTAAATGCAAGTTTTTAAAAAGCAAACCCAAAAAACTTAAATGAACTCCCCCCACCTCCAAAGACTGCAGCGTTAACAGTTGGACTTTCCAAAGAGCAGAGCAGCAGGAACACAGTGTCAGTGACTGCTCCTAAATCCCAGAGGTCCTGAGAACTTCCCTGTTGGCTTTTCCCAAGCCTGCACTAGTCTGAACTACCTGCCTTTCTTCAGGGCTCACCCTTTAATGCTTTCAAAATTCTTTACACAGAGAACAGCAGGTATGTTTTCGTCACAGACATTGTGTTTAACTGAGTGTTCCAAGTTTTTCTCTCTCTCCCAAAACTGGATTCCTCCCCCAGCCATGGCTCTTACCTAGTTTATATTCATCATTGCAGCCTCTGTGTCTCAGACGCCTGATCAGCTCCAGTTTGGCTAAATATGGTCCCCGGAGTGGCCGAGAGCTCTTGGACTCCTCTGTGATCCTCTCCTCTATAAACTCCACAGCTTGTTCCACAGAACAGTGCACCTCTCCTTCCAGAGAGCTGGGAATTAGAGACAAAAGCTTCTTGGATTTTTCCCAGCGTGAGAGCAGGGATAACACACACTCAGCACTCCCAGGATACTCTTAAGGAAATCTAAAATCCATTAAATCCATCACCATGGAAAATATTAACTGGAAGAGTTCTACAGTGCACAAACAGCTGTTTCCAATAATTGCCAGACTCCAGATAAAAGCAAGGAGCACACACGAAACAAAGCAGGGAAAACACATCATTTGGGGTGTGATGTCAAGGAGTCACCCAAATATTGAATATATGGACACAAACAATTCATTGTAGCATGAAGGGCAAACAAAACCACAGTAAAACTGGCAACTTACTGCTCTTCTTCTGCTGGAGGTGTCCAGGACTCATCAATGAGTTGAAACACTGAATCAAAGTAAGTTATATAAAACTGCCAATCATCTGAGCTGAAACAAAAATCAAGCACAGGACAAAATTTAGGGAATTGCCAAGACAGTAATTCACAGCTAGAACTGCATTCCTTGCCAAAGATAAACTTAAGGAATGGCACATCATCATATTACAGGAAAAACCCAACTGCAATAATAAAATCATTTCCCCTCCAAAAGGTCTCACATCTTAAGAACTCCACCATCCTGAATTTCTTGAAATGTATCAAATGAAATCATTTCAATACAAAATTGAGGCAAGCTATAAACTTTCCTCCTCACATTTACATTCCACAGCTCAGCAGCATCCCCACAAAATGCAAAGGCAGAAGTTTCTCTTCTGTATTTAACTTATATCTAAGATGAGGGCAGAGCTAAACTCAAAAAGCAAACAACACATCTCTCCTGACAGTTCTGAGACAGATCTGATCAGACTGGAATGTTCTGTCTCCTGGTGCATCTGTTCCGAGCACCACATGCATTTCCCACTGTGAAGTCTGGCCAAGTGAGAGAAATAAAGTTATAGAAAATGAAATGTAAATGCAGTTCTCCTCCTCTCTGTCAGAGCTGGACAATCAGCACGGCCTTCAGAAATAAGGAGGTAACAACACTTTACTGCATTAATTACTGTTGCTAAATCCTGCTTGAAAAAGCAGCACCTACAGCCCCGTGCCCTTCCCCACATCCCTTCACCATTCCACCCTGCCACCCTTCTCCTCAGGCTTTGGAGCATAAAGCTTTGAGATCCTTTGATATTCTTCTCTTTTAACCCCAGAAAGCCACTAAACAAGGCAATCCACAACCAAGCAGGGATTTTTCATCCACGTTTTGGCAGGACTGCAGCACCACCCCCTCACTTTTTGAGCAGCAGTCGCCTGGACAGCGCGTTGCACTCGGGCCACCGCCGCAGCTTCTTGTACATGGCCATGCACTTGTTCTCCCGGCTCTGGAGCTCACTGGTCAGCTTCTCTGCACCACAAACACAAGGCAACCTCATGTCAGCACTGCTTTCCTTCTCTGCCTGCTGCAGAAAGCTGCTTATTATAGCCCAGCATGCAAAACAGTGTAAGAGAACAGGAGAGAGGACAGAGAGAGAGATTTCCTATGGAAACCGTCATATCCCAACTCCTTAAAACTCCATGTCACTCCTCAGAAAGGGTATTAGAAACTTCATTTTTTCTTTTAAATGGCAGCTACAACAAATAAGCACAATATCAATTTACTACTGCAAAATCCACCACTGAATAATGTTTAAATTCCATAAACAAGTGGGTAAAACCAGGTGGCACAAAAACCTCCAGAGTTTGCACCAAGGTTTGAAATTGGTGCTAAGTCAGGCTTCCTAAAATATTACTAATTTTTTTCTGGAAGCAGTGGGCAAGTCTGAAGCAAAGGAGAACTCTGTGTCCTCCACACAACTCTGATTTATTAACAGAATAAATTACCTCCCAGTTTTCCTCTCACAACGTCTAAGGCTTCCTTGTACTTCTCCAAACGTTCCAGAATCATGTAGTACAGCTCAACCTTAAAAGAAAGATTAGACTGCAGTGAAATTTGCTGGGAAAACCATACACAGGTGTGCCAAAAAATAAAATAGGAGACACCAGGCCTGCACAGTTATCTTTAGTATCCCTAAGGGTGAAGAACTCTGAAATGTAGGTCTTTTTTCCATTCTTAGTCCTCAGGTTTTTCTTGGGGCCTCACAGGGAGCAAAACACTTCATCAGTTAAATGAAATGCCAAAAATCTGCCTTGGCCACACAATTCCAAATCCCTCTTAACCCCCTGCTCTTGGTTTTCCTTCTGTTCCACTCCATCCACATTTACTTCCAAAACATTACTGATTATTATCTTGGAAAACTGTTAAAATAATCAACTTCCCAGTGCACTGCTTGTCTCAACAAAGCTCAAATCAAGCCGAAAGTATCCCCGAGCCTTACTTCAGCCTCAGCTTCAATCTTATCCTCCTTCACCATTTTTTCCACCATTCTCTCAGCCAGTGGCAAAAACATGGTCTTGGAGAGGTTTTCATCCTGTGCTGAGATGGACTGAGGGAGAGAAGGATTATTGGAACAGTTCGGCAACTTTTTGTCCTGTCCCACCCACTGCTTTTTTCACTTTGGAAGAAGAAAAAAAACAACCCAGGTGCTTCAACCCCCCCAACCACCCATCCAGAGCTGCCTCCCATGACCTGCAGAGTGCAACTGCTCTGGGAAAAGGAGCAGGAAAATTAGTGACACACAGAAAAGCTCGTTTTTGATTATATTGACCAGAGATTTGCACATCTGAGCACACAACACTCACGGTAAAAACCATGGAGCCAGAACATATTTGTGTGTTCCACAGCACAGTATTCTAGAGAATGTGATTAATGCCCCTCATGCTTATTTTTTGTTTGATTTTGTGTCTGATTAGTGCCCAAATCTCTGTCTCAACTAAGAGCAGCACAGCTGATCTGTGTCTATTCCTGCAGACTCTGCCAAGTCCAGAGCTCTCATTTTTTCCCTCCAAGAGCCTTTATAATTTCATTAGAGAGGAACAGTTCTGACTGAGAAACTGCAGATATTTGAGGATTTATTCATTATCTCTCTACTAAAACGACAGTAAGATATTAGTCCGGCTCAGAGAATAATTCAGTTGTATAAACATGGTAAGGCAACAGTTAAATTGCATTATAAAAACACTTCAGCATTCATTTTGGACCACAACAATAGTGCTACTTAAGGAGGGCTCAGCCCTTCTCCCAGCACCACCCAGGAACAGGTCAAACACCATTTTACTTAATCTCTAATGTTTTCATTCAGAACATTCCTGTATCAGACAAACTCAACACTGTACACACCTGCATGATCAGGCTCATCACAGACCAGAAATAATACGGATTTTTGGGTACAATCTTATAAAGTGCCATTCCAGCCTGAAAAATAGAAGCCAAAAGTTTCATCATTCCTGAAATATAATTCTTTCCAATCTCTCATGACAGACAGCAATGATGGCAGTGACAACACAGAATTAGCAATTAGTGCCCTTTAGTTTTTCTTCACTGAATTCCACCAATACAAGCCTAGCTGTGTGTTGGATGCCACACTAAGAGCATGGGTGAGATTACTCTTCCCAAATAACAGAGAACTAGGGAGGAAATCAAGTGTGAAAACAGGGATCAGAAGATCTTGCTCTATATTTTCATCTGTTCCAGAATTCCTTGTAATACACTGCCAGCACAGACCAGTTGAAGGTACAGCTTTAAGGAAAGAAAGCTTTTCTCTTTAGACAACCCAACCTTTAAAAAATGGGGTTTTAAGCCTTTCTGTAAAAACCAACACAGAGTTTAACTTCTGCACTAACCAAGCTCAGCTTTTGGAAGATTCCTTGTAACGTGACAAGGCACTGACAGTAAGAAATACAGAAAAATACACCTTAAAATAGCCAAACACCAGTTGTTGCTCGTACCTGTTGCATCTTCTTGTACTCCCCAACCCTGGCATAGGCCATGAAGAGGTGAGAGTGATACTCTTCACTGTTGGGAACCTTCTTTACAGCTGCCTCGTACAGTTTAGTCACCAGTTCAGCTAAATCAAAACCAGATGCTTGAGTTAAGACAAATTTGGGAATATTTTAAAGCACAGCTGCCTAAAGAGCATCAGTGATGCTCTGAAATCACCCTAATTACACCCAGCAGCCACAGAAATGGTGTCCTGGCCCCCAGGCACTACAAACAGCAGGCAAAGGAGAAAAGTGCTTAAAAAACCCCAAACCAACCTCAAAATAGAGTCAAATCAAAATGGAGTTAAACAGCAACAACTGAACTGTTCAGTTCAGAATTTTAAGTCTTTTTCTTAAGAAAGTTTATCTAATTTGGAGCATTAAACCTAATGAAGATTTCTACTGCTCCACGTGAATGATGTATCAAACCCAACATTTTCAGAGCCTGATATTAAACTAATTATTCTTATCACAGTTTGACTTATATTAATTATATCCTGTTACTTCCCAATTGCCTATTTCAGTATTCTAAACAATTATTCCACTCTATACTTTTTGATAGTAGGTCTATCATGACAAAATACTTCTGATATTATAACATGCAAAACTTTCTTACATTTTCATCCTTCCAGATTTTTTCCTTACATATAAAACTGCAGCTCAGTGTAGTATTAGAAAATTAAAAGTAATTTTTCTTTCATAGTTTCTTTCATAGTTTAGAAATACTTGACACACAGATATAAAACACCTAATTCCAATTTCCATTCAGGACCAATAGTGCCTCACACCCTCAAGTTCCTGAGTTATAAACCTAAAAGTTATAAAGCTCAGCTTAAGACCTTATGGAAGTTGTTTGGTATCACAGAAAGGCTCTTGACATTCACAGGAGTTTCTACTGAAGTCACAAATACACACAGAAATTTGGTGTTATTTAAGAAATGATGCTTTAACTCCACAAACAAACTGGGAGAGCATCAGCAATTGCAGACTGACACCAAACAGCCATTTCTGCAGCAGCTGTTTCACCCCATGGTCATTTCTCCAGCAATTCAACAACAAATAATGGTACCAACACCACCCCACAAGGAGCTGCCAGGGACAACAAGTGTTCAGAGCTGCACATAAGCAGGATATAAAGTCTGGCTTCTTTCAGAAAAGCACATGAAGCTTTACTCCATCACTCCAACAGTCATGATTTAGCACTTTTAAAACAGAGAATCACTATGAGGAACCAGACTGAAAAGCTGCTGTGGTCATACTGGGAGGGCAGGATTTCCCTCCTGTTTCTCACCCAGTTTCCTGAGCCTGAACCCCTCGACTACATCACAGCACCAAACACACTCCAAACCACAACCCACTGATTTGCAATCTCTGCCACATCTACTGACAACAAATCCCAATAGTTTCGTGAACAAAAAGTGAACTCACAGGCTGCTGGATGATTATCAACCTGCTTCATTTAGGAGCTGTTACACAATCATGTTAATGAGAAACCTGAACAAGGTTTTTTTAGCTTTATGGAGATCACTGGAGCCTTACAGGCATCATTTAAATTCTCTGAGTCCCTTGCAGCCTCTCATAGACACAAACTCTGGATTTTGCACGTTTCCCACCACAGTGGGTCCCACAAACTTCTGGCAGAAGGTAAATAATTGAGATTTTTAAGGCAGGCAAAGGAACAAACTCACGTCGGTGCATTTCCCGGTACAGGATGGTTAGTGCCTGCAAGGAATTATCATCTGTGGGTTCAAGTGCTGCTACTTCTTGTGCCAGAGCATAGGCTTCATCCTGCTTGCCAGTCCTCTGCAAGCCAATGGCCTTCAGAACCTGTGGACACAACACAGGCAGCTCTCAGGATTTGCAATTACCAGTGGAAATCCTCTCGTTCCTCATCAGGTTTTGCCCAACCACCCTGTTTCTCCTACAGAACTTCAGCTTTTATTAAGTTTCTAACCCATATGGCTGTAAAGAAAAACTCCCAAATCCAGGCTGCATCAAAGAGGGGGATTTGATTTCCTACCAAATATCCAGGCTGCTCCAGCATCACCTGCCACTGGGTTTTCTCTCCCTGCAGGCTGAACACTGGCCAGTCCTGCCCATTTTCATTTGTTTCTTTTCACTAACTGGCCAGAGAGAAGTGACATAAATGAGATTCAGGTCAATGACACTCTCTGCAGCTTGGGAAGCTTTCAGGACATAGAAGTGGTGTGACCTGTAGAGGGAAACCCCCAGGGAAATGAGGAAAGTAGAAAGAGAGTCACATGTTCAGAAAAGTGAAGGACAGAACTGCCTTTCCTTCACCAGGGCACTGCAAGGAGGGAGAGGACAAGAAGCAGAAGAGCAAATGCCTCCAAAATCCCAGAATGGTTTGGGTTGGAGGGACCTTAAAGCTCATCCAGTCCCACCCCTGCCATGGGCAGGGACACCTTCCACTATCCCAGGTTGCTCCAAGCCCTGTCCAACCCAGCCTTGGACACTCCCAGGGATGGGGCAGCCACAGCTGCTCTGGGCAACCTGTTCAGTTGGTATGTCTTACAAAGACTCCACCCGCCAGGAGATGTTTTGGTGCAAGCTCCTACAGAGAAGTGTCCCAACCTGAGGTCTCAAAGAGGCATTTCTGAGGCCCAGCCCATGTGCCAAGGTTGTCTGGGTGGTGCTGACAGCCAGACAATGAGCTCGGGTGTAACCAATACTCTGCTCACTGCCCACAGCATCTGCACCAGTTCAGGCAAACGAGACACGTGGATCAGGACAGAGATATTCCAGAGGGTTCAGAAGACACTGGTCTCTGGAACATCACAGTGAAACACCTCAGACAGAACGAGGTGGGTGCCCCCAAGCCACACTTACCTTGGCACAGTGAAGGTCCTTGTGCTTTTTGAGCAGTTTATCCGCTTGCTGGATTGCCATTTTATTATTGCCATTATCCAGATAATCTGCACAGGAACAACACAGCCAGTGTTACACACAGCACAAGGCCACTCTGCAAAGCCATCTCCAGTTTTACCCTCTGCTCTTACACCAGGAGCACAAACCACCTTTTCCTTGTACAATTACTCCTAAGCCAAACGTGTCACTTCATGGGTGAAGGATTCATCTCACTGTGCTGGTTTTAGTCATTCAAACAAACAAGCTTTTGTAATTACTCCACACAGATCATGACAGCAACAAAAGAGACACATAATAGAAGGGATTCTGCAGCAACAGCTTTTTGCTGGCAATGCAGCTCCAGTGCTTCAGCAGGAAAAGGAGAAATTAATTGGGTGTGCCTTTGGGAGACTTTCAGTGACTTTAACAGGCAGGAGGTTACAAACTTAACATCACACTCTATAATAAAGTGTTCAGTGAGAAATCCTTGTCCACACCATCCATCCCCCAGGCAGAGCAAACCTGTCCCCTCACAGAGCACCACTGTGCTTCCACCAGACTGCTTTTGAAGACACAAGTGTGAAGCACCAATATTTCCTTGGGGACATCCCACTATCCCGTGAAACTTCAGCTGCAGAAAACCCACCTCGAGACCATTTTCTCCTTTTTAGCTCGGAATTATAATTTTCAGATTGATCATCATGTTATTAGATAATTACAAGCAAGGAGGTTTAGATCAGGACATGACCCCTGTGTGCTTCCCTTCCCTCAAAAATTCCTATTTCCAAACCAAAACCCAGCTTAGCTGCCCCTTCATGTGCCAAGGGAAGGGTCTGCTCACACTGCTGTGGCCAAACTATCAGCAGAGCTCATTCCAGTTAACTGGAATTACATTACCTCTTTCTCCTCAAGACTGTCATTCCCACTATGAGACAGAACTCTTTTACTGAGTAAAAAGGTGACCTTTGGTGATTTCTGGGCACATGGTACAAACTGTGCATCTCTGCTAATGAGATTTATATTCAGCAGCTCCCACATTATTTCCACAGCCAATGTGTGCTGCAGATTTAAAGCAGAGCTAATTGGGCTCCTGAGACCATCCAGAGCAACCCTCAAACGAGGCAGTATCTCCACACCCCAAAACTAAACATTGCTGCACAAAATCCAGTCTGAAGCCATGATACTTTGTCTTCACATGGGTGTTTTAACTCAGGAGAACCCGTGTATCACCTTTAACATTAAACTTAAGGAGGGATTTCTCGGTGAAGAGGCTTCAAAAGTGTGCAACAGAATATCTGAAACTCTGATTTAAGGATCTGTGTCACATAGTTTACTGACACACAAATTACCCACCACTGTCTGATGTTGTTGAACATCTCAGCTTTGGGTCTCTCAAAGCAAACCAAATAACCCACAAACCTCCCTAAACTGCAGCATGAGGAGACTGTGTTTTGCTAATAAGCCAGTTTGTTGGAAGTCAGAGTAGGTGGCACATTCCAAAGGAACTAAAGGAAAATAAACTCCAGCCCACATCAGGCACAGGTCTGTAGGTGGGGACGTTCAGAGGCTGGAAATGCAACACCTGAACTTTCAGGTGAAGGCAGAACGAGCCCAGATGAAAGATAAGCAGAGCTGTCGAGGAACTCTGGGGAACCACAGCACAAACGTGAAAACACTGGTTTAAATCAAGAGCCAGACCTCGGCCCTCCCGCTGCACATCCCCAGCTGATGATCTGGGGAAGTTGTGTATTTACATCTCTAAGGGCACACACTTTATTCTGGGTTCTGCAGCACCACAGCCCGAATTCAAACCTCACACTGCAGATAATCCTTTCCAGAACGAGCAGAAAAAGATTCTAAAGCCCTCTCCCTAAAAGCTCCACTCTCTGAAACGAACACAACGAGACATTCAACATCATCTGCCTCAACACCGGCTGAATTCACCCAGATTTTTCTGTTAAGACCACTTCTCACCCGGGTCACAACACAGATAAACCGCACACCAATAAAACCGGCAATCACAGCACGGACAAGCGAACTAAGGGAAAACACTTAAAAACGTTACATAAAGGCAAACTGCAGCGAACTTGAACACTTTTAACCGAACAAAACCCATCTCCCCCTCCCTCTCCCTGGAGCCCCACCGGGGGAACGCAGAGCCCGGACCGCGCCATCCCAAAGCCCACCCCAAAGCCCGTCCAGCCCCTAACGCGGCGTTGCGAGAGCCGACAAAACATTTGTCGGGGACATTTCCCCAAAACCTCCATCAATTTTTTTTTTTTTTTTGAAGGGAAGAAACGCTACCGTAGCCCGCGGAAGCGTTTTATCCTCCCCCTTTCTCCCCCACATCTGCATAGAGACAACGCCGCCTCCAAACCTCTTTAAAGCAACGCCGACCGCACGAAACACCCGGCGACCAGAAGCCGGACTCCTTCAAACTCATCCCCGCTTGTGAGGGGGGGGGACCCGCGGGGAGACACCCCCCCACCGAGGGGCCGCAACCCCGAGGCCCCAGGGCTCCCGCCGCCCTCGAGGGGCGCGGGAGCCCTGGGCCTCGGGGGTTGCGGCGTGAGGGGCGTGAGGGGCGCCGCGGAGGCCGTACCGTAGATGGGCCGCAGGCGGGGTCGTTGGGTCCTGGCACATGGCCCCGGCGCCGCCATGATGAGAGCGCAGACGCGCGCGCAGGCGCGGCGGCGGGCACGGCCCCGGAGGTGGCGGGAGCGGCGGAGGTGGATAGGAGGAGGGGGGGAGAGAGAGAGAGAGAGAGAGAAGGCGGGACAGGGGGGCCTGCGGGAGGGGGATACAGGGAAGCGACCCTGGATTGGGGACACCCTGGATTGGGGAGGGGGGGGGGATACCCGCGGCGCTGAGCTGGGGGGGGTATCCGCAGCGCTGGTGGGAAGGGGGTTTGGGGATACGCGTGAGAGACGCGAGTCGGGGTTGGGGACGCTGGGGCTGACGCGGAGGCGGCGAGAGCGGCCCCGGGCTGGGTTTGGGGACGCGAGCCACCCGGGAGAGCGGGACTGACACGGATCAGGGCGCCGACACTAAGCGGGTCGGGCCTGGGGACGCCCGCGATCGACACCCGGCGATGCCCCGGGAGTAGCCGCCGACCGCCACCGGCCACGACCCTCGGGGGCACCCAGCCGAGCCCTGAGGGGACCTGCAGAAGCGGCACCGCCGAGCCAGGGCTCCGAGCGAGCGGCCGGCTGCCCCGGAGCCCCGGGACCGACTCTGCACCGCCCGGGCCGGGCTGGTGCGGGCGCCCGCAGCGGCACCCCGCCGGCCGCGCTCCCACCTCACTCGCTCCCTTCTTCCTTCCCTCCTTTCCTCGTTCGCTCCCCGCCAGGGAAGGGGCAGGAGCAAGGCAGCAGCAGCAGCCCTCGGGGCACCGGCCCAGCCATGGCCATCGCCGCCGTGCCCGGGGCCGAGTCCCGGCTCTGCGGGAACTGGTAAGGCCGGGCCGGGGTCGGTGAGGGCTGGGCCGGGCCGGAGCCGCGTTGAACCGGGGTAGGACTCTGTGGAATGCTGGAAACACCGGCGATCCAGCGGAATAACTACTGCCTTTATGGACAAACGCTTGGGCGTCGTTTTTACCTTCTCAGCTATTAACGCCTTGTAATTTTCTCCACTTTTACTCAAGTTTCTTAACAGGCTGTTAGGGAGAAACTAAAGCGTTCAGATAGAAATAGAGACTCGTTTTTCAGTGAAATCCACACGATTTCAGGTTTTCCTTCAGTAGCTCTGTACCTCAGAAGCTCAGGAGAAATATAAAAATAGAAGCCCTAAGCATATGTTGTTGTGGAAGTTCTCTCTGACAGCAGCTCCCAGTGATGGTAATTCAGTGACTGATAACCATATCACCTCACAAGTTGGGTCCTGACTACAAGTAGTTAAAGAAATCAACTTCTTTAGTGTTGTTTTTTTTTCAAAGAGACATCAGAACCCAAAGGGCTTCTTGCAACATCATCCGGGTTTGTTTGGTCTGCGCAGCTCAGACGCTGCTGTGGGGCCTTGTTGCTTTGCCAGGGTTTTGGCAAAAAAAAAAAAAGAAACATGAACAGCTGGAGTTGGAGTAAGAGGTTATACAGTTAATTTGGGTGTTTTCAGGGCTGATTTCCTGGAGGGGGGATGATACATCCATCTAGAAGCGATGCTTCTTGCTTGAGGCAGGAGTGAGGACTGAGCTCCTGGCGCCTCTTTGGTCCTTTCCTGTCCTCAGGGGAGGAAAATGGGCATCTTAGAAATAAGACCTGGGGAATTTTGGGGTACAGAGTAGTGTTGTTAGTGCTGGGGCTCTGAGCAACCTGGGCTGTGGAAGGTCTCCCTGCCCATGCAGGGGTGGAACTGGATGAGCTTGAAGGTCCCTTTCAACCCAAACTGTTCCATGATTTCATCATTCCCTGAACAAGGGAACAATGTTTGACCTCTCATAGCCAAGTTATTTTCAGGCAGAAGCTTTTATCTCCTCAGGTTAGTGTATTAACTTGCACCAGTGATAACTTGTTTGTGCTGCATGATTCACCTCTCACATAAGGAAATAAATGCACCTGGATTTTATCTTAATGCAATGTGATTTTTGGGTGCTAAATACATTAATATCCACCTGTGCAGGAACCTTGAGGCCTGGCTGGGCCTTTCTCTGGAGTTACTCAATCACTTTAAACCATGAATTCATCAAAATCTTCCTTAGCATTATTTTTTTGTTATGAACAACTTTTTGAATTTGTTGTCAGTGTGTTTCTGCCCAGTAACCTCAGTGATTTTCTCCCAGCAAAAAGGACATTCCTGCAGTTAATTTCCTCATCCATGAAATCCACTGTCGCAGGAATATTGAAATATGTCCCTACTGCAGCGACTCCATCCCAAAGTCTGAGATGAAGAACCACATTGAGTCTGAACATGTGCAGGTGAGAAACACATTCCCCCTCTGAAACTGCTGATTTCTGTGGCAATTAATCCAACCAGATCTGTTCGCTGCAGGTGACCTGCAAGTGTAGGATGAAGATTGAAAACAGTCTCCTTAAGGATCACGAGGTTGGTGGATTTTCTCTTCTTAAACCCTTGGGAGAGACTCTGTGGTGTTTCCAAGCACTGATTCCAGAGCCTTCCTGTCAGCCAGAATTCCAGCCTGTGGTTTGTGCATCCTTTTATTGAGTGATGCTTCCTAAATTCACACTTTCTGGGAGAAGGGGGTTGGAAACTGCCTTAAAGTGCTGGAGCCATATAGGGTCTTCATGTCAAGCCATCTGTGATAACTGGTAATTTTTTGTCCTTATTAGTGATTAAGGTGAAAAATAAGTATTTCAAAATATGATTAACCTGGCTTTTTGTCCATTCCTTTACCATTTTATGTTTCTGCCTCTGCTGCAGAGATTGAGTTTTAATAACTCCTTATTATAAGTGAGTTGCAATAACTTCTGTCCAAACAGACTTTAAAAATAGCCTGTAAAATAAACTAAAATAGGACACAGTGGGATTTTCTGAGTTCTGAATCCACTTGGCTGCTGTCACAGGCAGTCTTGTTATAAATGTCAGTCCCTTCCCGTGGGCTCATTTAAAGGCAGCTCTGGAAGTGCCACCTCAGCCTGTTTATTGCTGAGGGGAAAAAGGATTTTCCTTGGAAATCTGTCCAGTTCTAAACCCTGGAAGTGGCTTATCCTGCCCCTTTGTGTGTGATGCTTTTGGCTTTGTTTGCAAAGCAAACAGTGCTGTTTTATTATTGCAGCATCTGCAGTTATAACAGGTATTTTATCTATTTTTAACCCCTTTTAAAGGGCAACTTACCTGTTGTCGAGTGTGGGGTAAGGAATATTTACAAGCAGTTTTTGCTGAGTAGTAAATGAGGTGTAAGTCTGTTCCCTGCAGAACACACACCAAGGTGGTTTTTAGCTGTACTCAGTGAAATGTCCTTGGATTTCAGGTCTGTATCTAAAAGCCACCTTCAAAAACCTCCATGTGAACCTGCTGTCCAGGTCAAAAATAATTTCAAACGATGCTCTGAGTATCTGGAGAGCTTCAGTTTGTGGTACACAGGTCATACGACACGTTGTTGTTACGTTTCTCGGGTCGTATCTTATTCCAGGCTATTTTTTAGTGAGGCTTTGGATGAGGAAACGACAGAGTGCTGAACCCCTGAGCAAACTGAGACCCTCCCTCCTCCTTTGGCTCACGTGGGAAGAGCCATCCCTGTGTGTCTTGCAGGAGTCAGCGTGTCCCCTGCGCCCCGTGCTGTGCCAGTTCTGTGACATCCCGCTGGCCTTCAACAAGCTCCAGGAGCACGAGAGCTACTGCGGGGCCAGGACCGAGCCCTGCGGGGGCTGCGGCCGCAATGTCCTGCTGAGGGACCTCAAGGAGCACCCCCGGGTCTGTGGGACAGAGGAGAAACCCCGAGGGAGCGGGACAGCACCAGGATTTGGGAATGAGGAGGGAGGTGTGCGAGGTGCGAGGAACCGACTGAGACCAGGTACCTGTGCTGGGCTGGGGGGAGCCCAGGGGGAGGAGCAGATTTAGGGCAGCTGTGAGGGGGAAAACAGGAGCAGGAGAATCAAAGAAATCAGAAGTCTGGAATCCTGATTTCCTTTCAGTGCAGCCTCTGGAAGCCTGGTTTTCCTTCCAGTGCAGCTTCCCTACCAGAAAATGAAATTAAAACCCATGAAAATTTTGAAACTGTGACATTTCGTGGGTTTCTTCTGTGTAATTTCCACTGTTGTCAAATACAGTGTCATTAAGAATAATTTGTTTTCTTATCAATATACTGAAAAAACAAAGCTGGAGTGTTTCAGCCTTGTAAAAGGTATAAGGTTACAGGGTATTAATAACTTGCTCAGTGTAGTCACTAAAGCTCCCAAGAAGCCTCAGTTCAAGCTTTTGGAGTAAGAAGGAAGTTACAACTTCCTTATTTTTCTCATTTTTTGCTTGGTACAAACAAACCCAGGATGATTCTCCTTGTTCATCCTCCTGATCCTTGGCTTTGAAAGGCTGAACTCCAGGAGTGTCCTGGGAGGGAACTGCTGGGGGCAGGTTTAATGTTCTCTCAAATTTACAATATTTATCTTTTGAAGAGGATGAGCTGGAGCAGCTGGAGAGAAGTGAAATCCCTCATTCCCCACTTCCAGAGGAGTGGAATGCTGAGTTAGACTATGCGTTGGCTCTCAGCCTGCAAAATGAGAATAATCCTCACCCTAACACTGCAGCTGGAATTCCCAGGGACTTCTGGGAATATGACTACACCAAAGAGCCTGGGTCAGCTGCCCACCTCAGTGAGACACAGCAGTCAGACTCCTTCTCCTACGATTCTCCAGGGTCTTTTAGCACCTCAGACCACAGAAAAAGTAAGTGTAAATATGGTGGTGGGGGGGGGGTTTCCTTAAATTTGAGGGAAGGGAGAAGGAAAGATTGGACTGGGAATGCTAAAAATTATCTAGGTATTTTTAAATGTCAAAATTAGTCTCTTAGACTCCTCCTAAGGCAAAGCAAGGGAAGAAGGAATAAAAGCTGTGGGGGGTCTCTGACCTTGGTTAGTGGTGGGAGCCCCACCACAGCCAGAAGGGATGTTCTCATGGAAATTAGACATGATGGGAAGTAGGATCTGGGAGGGACCTGGAGAGCAGCTTACTTTGGAAAGACAAATGGCACTGAAGGGTTTATTGAGGGCAGTAAGAGGTGTTTTTCCCAGACCATTCACTCCATCTTTGACCCCAAAGCACTGCTCTCCTCTGGGTGATGTTAAGCTCAGCGAGTGGGACGGGAGGAGTTGTTTCCTCAGTGTTTGCTCTGGGTGCTGCCCCAGCACAGACCAGAGCCTGGTGCTCAGGAATTGTGCAGAGCAGTCACTCCAGCTGCTCCAGACTCTCCACAGTAGAGGATGTTTCGTTCCCTTCCCTTGCAGACACGGAGACCATCATGTTGCCCTGTGAGTTCTGTGAGGAGCTCTGCCCTGCTGAGGAGCTGATCCTTCACCAGGTTTGGGCCTACCTTGTGTCTTGGGGTTTGAAGTAAAGACTTTACTGTGACTGGAAAGGGTGTGGTTGACACAGTGACACTGAGAGAACTCTGGCAGTTGGGTCTTTGCCAAGGAAAGTGGTTTTTAGAGTCCCCTGGCTCAGCAGGAAAGGTGATTTTTCTGTGTTTCTTGTGTAACAGACGGGGTGTAACCCAGCAAGTGCCTTTGCCTCGTTCAGTAAGAGAAGCTCTTCTCCAAATCCATGGGACTACGATGGTCTGTGTGCTGTTGGCTCCAACAGCTGGAGGACTCTCCCTTCATCCCAGCCCCAAGCTGTTCAGGCAGATGGAAACATCATGATTCCATGTGAATTTTGTGGCATCCAGCTGGAAGAGGAGATTCTCTTCCATCATCAGGTACTGAACAGGACGTGATCTGTCGTGTCACATCCAGCTCAAGGACGTGCTGAGTCCTGAGGGCTCTTGGGGGTACATTTTAGGAATTCAGGTAACTGTCCCTGGGGTCCAACTGGAGGGTTGTGCCAGGGTGAGGCTCTGACTGAAAAGTACCAGATTATTTTAAAGCTCTTGTAACAGAAACTAAACAAAAGGGCTGAAATTGCACAATTGAAGTATTTGACTCATACAGAAAATGTTGCAGAAACCTGGATGTGAGTCAGCTGAGGGGGGAGAGGAGCACAAGGGGAAAACTGTGTGGGTGGGAGAGGAAGTAGAGAACAGACCTGGGAGTGGTGTGCCCTCTGGAATCTGCTGCTGTTACAGACAAGATTGGAAAATGCTGAGCTCACTCATTTTCTGTGTCATGGCTCTTTCACACTCTTGGTCCCAACAGACTGGTGCAGCTGGAGTTTGGGTGGTTGTTCTGGGCCTTTCCTCTCCTATCCTGGGGGAGAGTAAAATCAGGGTTGGTGGAAATGAGATCTGATACCATTTCATAGGTTATCCCAGAATAGTTTGGGTTGGAAGGGACCTTAGAGCCCATCCAGTTCCAGCCCCTGCCACGGGCAGGGACACCTCCCACTAGCTCGGGTTGCTCCAAGCCCTGTCCAACCTGGCAGGGGGTGGAACTGGATCAGCTTTAAGGTCCCTTCTGGGATTCCATGACATCAATTCCCTACTAACCTTCTCCTTTGCGGGGGGTGCTGCTGCTCAGTGTTTCCCAGGAACAGTTGGGTGGGGTGTGATGTGAGCAGTGTCTGTGTGTTCTGTGCAGCACCAGTGTGACCTGCGCCCGGCCAGCCCCGCGGCCGCTGCTCCAGCCCCGGAGAGACGGGAATCGCCGGAGCCGGTGCGGCGACGGAGCAGGCACCAAGGTGGGCACAGCACAGGCTCGCTCTGCTCTGTGGTTGGGGCACATCAAACGTGCTCTGTGCTGGTGCTGTTACCCTGTTCTGTCTCTAAATTGAAAAAACCTTCAGTCCTCTCCCCCAGTCTGGGAGGATTAAATCACTAAACTCTGGGTCCTCAGCGATCTCTGGTATGGAGCCTTGGGTTGCAGGGATGGAAATGGGTCTGGTTCTGTTCTCTCCAGGGGCTGGTGCTGCAGGTGCTGTTCCTACTAAGCTCTGTGTCCTGTCCTTGCAGGAGATGTTTCTCCTCGGCACACAGAAGGCTTTGGGCAGTCAGGGCTGGGCTGCCCTGCCCGAGGGACCAAGCTGAGGAATGACATGGCCAACGCCAGGAACACAACATTGTCCTGTTCCCCGGGAGCTGCTGATGCTCCCAACATGCAGGGCAAGCCCAGGAAGGGGAATGGCAGCCAGGGGAAACCAAAGGACAGAGGGACAGGTGAAGCTGCAGGGGGGACAGTGCCACGAGCCAGACCTGCTCAGCACTTCCATGGAGAAACCTTCACCTCCAGCTTCTCCAGAGCTGCTCCAGCCCAGCCAAGGTACCACCTTTGCCTTCTGTTCTCTTCCCCTTCCTTGAGGTGCAGATCTGGATTCTCTTGAATTTGCCTGTAGCTGAAAAGCTTTTCACAGGCTTTCAAATGGACTCAGTTGAACTTGGATGGTGCTTATCTGAGATTCAAACAAATTTAGCTTCTTACCTCAAAATAGAATGGACAAAGTGGCCCCTGGGATAAAATGCAGGATGACTCCTGGTTACCTGTCCATGGCAGTGCTCTGCTCTCCCCAGGCTCTGAACAGGAGCTGGTTCTGTTACAGAAATACCTGGGTCAGGGCTCAGGGGAGACACAAGAGCTTCTCCCTGACCCCTTCCCCATGTCCCTGCTGTGATGCTCACCTGTCCCAGGTGTGTTTGCCTCCTCTGAAGGTGTCCCTGTTGATCCCCCACAGCCCCAGCACTGGAGGAAGGAGCCTCAGGCTGCAGGACGGGCGCATCGGCCTCAGGCGCAGGAGCTCCAAGGTGAGGCTGCAGGGGCAGCTCTGGCAGTGGGGTGGGCTGGGATCTGGGCACATGGGTCCCAGCCCTGCAGGGCTCAGGGGGTGGGAGTTCCAGGGGTCCCAGTGCTGCTCTGGGGCTCCCACTGGGCTCCTCCTGCAAGGGAGACGGGCAGGGAGGACAGGACAGTCCCTGGCTGTTACCCCTTGTGATAGCTTTGCCAGGACAAGGAGTTAGTTATTTTACATTTCTTCTGCTTCAGAGAGCTTTTTATCAATTGCTTATTATCAAGTAATATTTGAAAAGAGTATTTTTCCTTTCTTTTCCCCTTCCCTTAAGGCCAAAGCCCAGAGCCCAGGGGCCGGATCCCCCGAGGAATGAGCCACCAGTGCTGGAAGACACGGAGCTCTTGGCCCTCTTCCTGTGCTCTGCCCCACTCTAGTCAGAGCACAAGTAAGTTCCCACCTTGGATTTAAATTTTTAGGCAGTGACCATTTTCTAAGTATCTATTTTTAATCTGTGAGAGCAAACTTCAGGTTTTTACGTCTCCGATTGCCCCCAGCACCCCCAAGGCAGCAAAACCTTGGCCCCACCTGGGTTCTGTGTCCGTGTGGGCTCCTTGTGCAATCCCAGGACAGGATTTATGCCAGGCTGAGCTCCCAGGGTGTGTCCTGCCTTGTCCTGCTCAGGCACAGCAGGTGTCACCCACCAGGGAGCAGTTGGATGGACCTGCCCCACACGGAGCAGGACCGAGGGTCAGAGGTCAAAAGCTTCTCGCATTATCCCAGTTTTGTAAATTCCTTGGAATAAAGTTTATCTGATGCTGTCTCAAAACGTTGTGCAGTAAAAATCTGTTCCATGAACCTTCTCTGAGGGTGTTTCCCTGGTGCTGGACAGGGGGTCTGGGAATCCCCGTTCCACCCTTACCTGCCCTGGGGGTCTGTGTTCCTGTGCTGTTGGCAGCCCTGGTACTGGAAGAGCTGCAGCAGGTCTCAGAAGCCTAATTAACGGGGTGCAGCAGATGGCATTAGCAGGGCTAATTAGCCAGTCCCCCTTTGGGCAGGGTCTCATCTCCATCCCACTGGTGCAGCCGGAGATTAATGAGGGCTGGAGGGATCTTTCTCCTAAAATAAAGACATTTTACAGATGCTCCCACCAAAGGTGTTTATTTATACAAGAAGAAAAAAGGTATTCAAGAACAGGTGGCAACCAAACCTGTGTTCTCCCCACTCCTGGGGAAGATCAGGGAAAGGGAGCTGGTTCCTGGGGTTTGGGATGGATAATGGATGCTTGGGGTCAGAAACCATTAGTATGACAAGTAACTAATTACTGAGGTGGCAGAGCCTGTGTTATTCCTCAGGATGAATATCCCAGAGTCTCCAGGAAGAGAAAGCTCAGCAGTGGCTGTGTTCGCTTTGGTACAAAATATTTACATTTTGTTCCAAGTAAATAAAAATGACCCATAAAAGAGGGATTTAAAGAGAGAACCTGCAGCTTCCTTCCTCACCCTCCTCATCCTGTGCTTCAGGCAGCTCCAGCAGCAGGTTTCATTCCTGGCAGCCCCAAAGAAGGACACGAGAAGTGCAGAGGGATGTTAAGAATCTCCTTTATGCAGGTGTACACTCGATGGCCAAGAGCACTTACAGGTTAATGCCGTGTACGGAACCGAGATGGACACACACCAAGCTAGAACTAATACCCAGCTCCAGAGTTTTTCCATGGTTTAGTATAATTTTACATTCTGAATGAATATATATTAAAAAAAATAATAATAATAATCATCACAAACCAATCTTTGCTTTGACAAACAAGCCTAGTACAGACAATGTCAAGTTCATTTAAAGCACGAGGAATTAAGGATGATTAGAAAAGCTTTAATCAAAAGGCCATTGGAGCCGCAGCCGAGGGGCCACAGCGCTTCCTTCCCAAGGAGCATGAAATTAAAAAAAAAAAAAAAAAAAAAAAAGCCAAGAAAACCCCCCACAGCTCCTTCTCCTGTGGGGCTGATCCTGTTCTTGAGAACAAACCAAGTCGATGGAGGTTGGTTATTGGTGTGACACTTGTCCTGTAGAAGAAGCTCCATTTACACCCCCAGGTGCAAACGGCATCGACGCAAAGTTCGTTATTTGTAATCATAAATAATTAACTGTAATAAATACGGATCAAGTAACTTTCCAGCACGTCTCGGGGCCGGGGTGCAGATGTGCTCCACTCGGATGTGCTCTCCAAGGAGCACACAGACAGTAGCAGCAGTTTCTTACTCACAGCTGGAACCAGCGCCTTGGGAAACATTGGAATTCCGAGCTCCAGAGTCTTCCGTGGCTGCTCCTCCCACCCGGGGCCTTTCGGGCTTCACGTGGGGGACTGGAACCCAAAACCACCCAGAAAGTGCCCAACCTGCAGCCACGGCTCTGCCATGGAATTCCACTGGTGTACCCCACGTTTCCTCACGACACCCTTTGGGAACAAACCGGCTCCAAGCCGCTCCTTCGGCTTCGTTTTCCCTCGGTCTTTGTAAACTCCAGGTGTTGGCGCTTCCTCCGAGTGGTTTCTGAGCTACATAAACGCTTCTACCAGGGAATGGACGAGATTGGAGAGTAAATATTCTTCCTACATGGATCTGTTCCCTGGAAAGGGGGATATGCAATGGGAGGGTAACAGCTTCCTAACCACTGGGTTGGGAGACTCCGGATGCCAACGACTACCTACGACTTGCACGCACATTCCCACTCGCTCACGGAACAACAACATCCACACGTGTTCAGGCTCTTCCCTCACTCACAGCATCTCCCACGTCCCACACACTCACCGTTCCCAATATTCACAATAATGTACAATAAATACAGTGGGATTCCCAGGAGCACGGACAGGCCAAACCCTGTTCTGGAGACACGGAACACTGACCTGGAGGTGCCATCACACCCCACCCACCCCTTCCCGAGGCTGAGGGACACCCAAGTGCAGCCCAGCACTGGCACTTGGCTCAGGGCAGTGCCGAGCACAGGTGGATTCCAGGGTGGGCTCTTCCTTGGAATTCAGGTTCCAAGTGATCAGTGAAGCAACACCGTCCATGAAACCCCTGGATGGGGGTGGCCACTGACACCAGTGAGGGACAAGACAACCTTTGAGGGGCTGCTCTGACCACCCAAACCACGTCCCACAACACACCAAGTGAGACGTGGCGTCGTTCTCTCTCCGCAGCCGGCTCCTGTCTTTCCATATAAAACAGAAGCTTCATCCCCCTTCCTCGTCCTCCTGCCGGGTGTCACATTTTTAGGATAATTTGCTCTTTAGATCAAAGATTTTTGAGTACAAAAATGAGTTTGATCACACCCTGGTTGTTCTGAAAGCTCGTTGGGAACTGGGATCAAGTCCCAGACTTTGGGGTTGGACTGTGATATCTTACACCCTTCAGAGAGAAGCCAGTTTGTTCTGCTGAGATTTTAATTACAAGACATTATTTTGTTGCCAAGCAAAGCAGACATTCAAGAACATCTAGGGCAGGAACCCAATGGAATTACTGCCCTTTCACTGTTCTGTTATAAATCTTCCCAAAAGTGTTGAGCTGAACCCATATTAAGTGGCAGCCCCCGTGTGCTTGCTCAGAGTTTAAAAAGATTTAAAAGGAAGTGGTGGAAAGGTGGACATGAGGTTTGGCAGTGAAGTTCCTGCTCCAAACCTCAAGTAAGTGCCACGAATCCTGCCCATGACACAACAGTGCCCGTGCTCTGCCTCTGCCAGTGCAGTGATTCCCTCCCCACACCCAAACTGTGCATTTTTGTACTCAAAAATGTCTCAAGGGAGAGTGATCCATGACTTGCCTGACCTCGGAACGCCCTCCCTGCTGCTGTGTTTGCAGGGGAAGCTCGTTCTGGATTACAAAATTAGAAATGTACATGTTGAAAGGTTTGGTTTTTTCCCAATTAAATTATACACAAACCGGTCTTTACTAAACTATCCTACAAATATTCCACAAACAAGGCAGCAAAAGAACCAGTCCACCACAAAGTCTACAAATACAAAATGGAAGTCTTCTGGGAATTACTGTAACGGGAACGAAGGTTCAGAAAATAAATTAACCTCCAGCTCGTCAGGTGGAGTCACGGGAGGTGCTGGATGGAACTGGAGGGTTTCCACCGTCGGCAGAGTCACGACAGAGTCACCTCTGGGTACCCCCTTCCCCCTCCTCAGCCGCTCAGAGGGTCCTCCCGGTAGTGGATGGCGTATCGGAGCTTCTCCAGCATGATGTCCAGGGAGGAATATTGCGGGAGCTTGATCATGAACATGCACGTCTCCACACGGATGTACCGCGAGTCCGGGGAACCTGCCGGGAGAGGCACCAGGAGGGGGTTGGAGAGGCACCAGGAAGGGCAGTTGAAGACACCCAATGCTTTTCTCCTCATTGTCCCAAAGCTGTTCCTCCCCCACACCCCTTACTGAGGGTATCAAAATCAAATCCCTGCCTCTTGTGGGTCTTTTGAATCTTAAATATCCTGTGCTTCTCCAAGAGGCCTTGGGCCGATATTTTTCCGATAGCCCAATAATTTTAAAAGCATAAGAGACAAATATACAAAGTCTCTCGGTGTCTCTCTAGAAACAAAATTTTAAGTATCATGGAATCTCAGAATGATTTGAGTTGGAAAGGACCTTAAAGCTCATCCAGTTCCACCACCCTGCCACGGGCAGGGAACCTTCTGCTAGAAGTTCAGGTTTATGTTCCATTTTATTTTTACGTGGTTTAAACCCAAATTCTCTTCTTATTTACACTCACAACTACCTGCCTCTCTCATTGTCATTGTTTGTGCACTAAATACAAGTTTAAATTACGTGAAGGGAGACTGAAAGCTGGAACTGTGCCATGAGAGGAACCACCTCCCCTTGCCTTTGGAGGTGGACACCCCCAGGACACCCCCGTACCTGCAGCGCCGTCAGGGGGGGCGATTTTCATGGGATATGGGGGCACGTGGGCGGTGTCGGGGCCCCCGTCCTTGCAGGGGCAGGTGAAGGGGATCCTCTCCTGGTTACAGGCAAACTTGATGAACTTGCAGAGCTCCTCCTGCGTGAACATCTCCAGGGCGCTCCAGAAGAACTCGATGTGCTGATCAGTCTCCATCAGTCCCACCTGGTACATGGTGTGTGCCTGAGGGAACAGAAAGCACATGTCCACTCCTGCCCTCCTCTCTGCCTTCGGGAATCTTCCCCCCTACACTTCAGATAAATACAAATCAATAAAATGGAGATGGATTTAAAATTTGATGTTAAAAAGCAAATTCCTTATTCCTCTCTGGAACAAGCCCCATTCTTATTATTTCCTGAAGCCAGTGAAATCTTAAAAAACTTCCTCGGGAGTAAAGAGAGGTGTCCAAGTACAGGCCAGAGTTCCCCAAGGATGTCCTGGCTGCATCACAAGCAGAAGATTACCCCCAACACCTTCCCACTGGATCCTCCTCTCCGTGTCACAGGGGGAGCTCGGCCAAACCTGCCATTCTTTGTACCTTGAGAAACTCCAGGTTGATGTAGGGGAGGCCACAGGTCCTGAGCTCCATCTCCAGGGGGGTGAGTGTGGTGAGGAGCTGCAGGGGGATGATGGAGCCCAGCCCTGCCCTCACTGCAGTCATGCACTCCGGGGTCTGTAGCTCCCGCATCCGCAGGCTCCGGATTGCGGCCGCGTACACGTCCTTGTTCTCCCACCTGCAGGCACAGAGCTGGGATGAGGCAGGAACACCTGTAGGAGCCCTCATGCCCCACCCCAGACCATCATGTACAGAAGCTATTTATGAGGGATTCCACTTCTGGATAATCCAGAGTGAGCGATAAGCGCTTTGCATTCCGAT